TCTTGAATCGCTTCGTGATTCAAACCATTCTGCTACATTCAACAGAAAAAAAATTTCTTGAAATTTTAATCAGATGAAGTGTAAGAAATCAATGTCTGGAATAAAATACATTCTTTTTAGTAAAATATATATTCTATTTGCACCTCTTTAATATATAAATGTTCGCAGATTCTAATATATGTTATGATATATCAAAAAAAAAATCAACCCAAAATTATAAAATTTAACAGAATTCAATTAAATAAAAATATTATCACACGAGTGTGGGGTCGCGTCCACGTGGCAACCCGAGCGTAGCATCCTTGCTCAGGTACACCGTGCAGCAACACCTGCACGCAAACCCGGAAGCAGATAGGGCACCCGGTTTACCGCATTGCGGTAAACCGGGTCAAGAACAAAAGATAGCAATCTCCTGCAGCAGAAGCCGGCACCGAAGTCTTCGGGACTTCGGGAATTATCATTACAACTCAAGAGTCACTCCAGAGAGCTTGTGTGTGTGCCTGACTACGGTTAAGCCTATTTACGTCCTAGCGCGACTGTCTGTACCTCTGGGTACTTTTTATCTTTCTGTGGTTTTGTGCGTGTGTGGATAAAGCTGCGAAATCCTAAAGGGACTCTGCTAAAGAGGATCTGGCCGTTAAAGGCTGAGTGACTGCGTTTATTCCTTTCTCCAATTGATTTGTCATCAATCGGCCTGACAAAAGTGGTGGCCAGTGGGTTTGCCTCTACGAGGTCGAACCCCGGCTTTTTCCGCAAATCTTGGGCAAAAAGTTCCCTTCTTTATTGAAGTGTGCAATTTACAAGTGTGAACTTGCAGCCGTGCTGCCCATACATTTACACCCAGCCCGCCTCACCCTCTGGAAAAAGCCTGTAAGTACTCACCAGTTCCTTTTGTGTGAAATTTTTTCGGCACGATGAACGGTGAGGAAGGCGCAGTCCCAGGCACGCCGCCTATCTCAAGCCGTACCCGCGGTATGCGCCAGCCTCCGCGACGGCGGGGACCTCTACCTGCAAGGCCATGGCATCGCCTATCCCCAAGCCCATCAAGCGATGGTAGTCACAACAGCGCGCGGTCGCGCTCCTCACATCGCATGCAACAGGCGCCTCTTTCAGGCGTTGAACGTAGATCTCAGCGTCCGGCGTCTCGTGGCGCCGCCTCAATCGCGGCCTCTAGTGGTCGTTCCTTGGCGTCTGCAGCACGCCGCCCCTCAATTATCAAGCAGGTCCTCCGTCTTGCCAACGGGGTAGGCGCGGTGGACCATATCTTGCGGACTCCCAAACTCGGCAATCCGAAACAACGCTTCGAGAGCTTTCTACCACGATTTTTTGATGCCGCCGCGCATCTCATAGATTTATCTCCTGCTGCGTTCTTGCAGCCCAAAATCGCTGCCCTCACGCGATTGGCAACCGAGGTGAACACCCTTTTGGTGCAATCCATGGATGTCATGACCGGGGGTGGCCGCACCTCTGCCCAAAGCAGCCGCGCGTTTTAGGGGTTGCTTTTCCCGCAGCGCCGCAAGTACCCGTGCCTCCAACGCCATCGGTGGCGCACGCCGCGCCTCAGCCCTCCCCCAGGGGGCGCCGGTTCCTGTGTTACCGTCGCACATGCCAAGCACGTCACGCGGCACGGGATCAGCAGCGTCACATCCCGCAATGGGGCAACTTGTCCCTCTGCGCCCCATGGCGCTCGCACTATTACACCCACCGGCTCCGGCCAGCTACGGCCGGAGCCGGTGGTTAAATTGCAAGTACATCTTCCAAGCAAATTCAACTGTCAAATTGCAGGATGGTCAAATTGTGGGAGATCAAATTCTGAGTCACCACCTGTATTAGATGAAGGCCAGTCACAATGAATAACATAAAACCCTTTTTCCATAGACATCATCATGAATATATGCCTCTAGTTGTCATTTGGTGATCAGTGCATTGTCTGAGCTTGCTGAGAGATTAACTTTGCAAATTTTTTATCTATCATTTGTGACTTGTTTCTAAATTGAATTGGATGGGACAATTTTCTGAAGTAAATTTTAGACGTAAGTCAGGGATTCTACCTTGAATTGCTGGCCCCTGTCCTGAGCTGAATCTGTGTTTTCTTTATCAAACTAATTTTCTTGATCCAAGGCATGCCTTCAACGTTGGTGTTGCATCAACTTTGGTCACCAACAGAAGTGATTCAATAAATTCATGAAATTTTGTGTTATGTTCATGCAAATAGGGATAGGTTTTTTGTTTCAGAAATATTGTATTGATATACAGTTTTTAAAATTCAGAGAGCAAGCCTTTGTTGTTTTCTTGAAAATTGCTGCATCAGTAAGGCTTATTTTTTTAAATCAAAAACTGGGAGACAGAAGTGTAGAAAATTTGTGGTTCTTGAAGCAGCACAGCTCCAGCATCTGGCTACAAACCAAACAAGAAAACTTGCTGGATCTCAAGGCCAGTGAGACTCCACAAAATCCTGTTTTTGCCAGACTCACTGAGCCTCACTCAAGGATGAGAAGTGGTCATCACTTCCTCCATTTCATTGAAATTGGCCAGTCATGAGCCAGGAAGAAATCACCTGATTTCTTCCTTTCCAAATCCAAGCACCTGGGTATAAAACCCTTCATTCCTCTTTGAGAGTAGAAGTCAGAACCTAGCGTTAAAGGGCCTTTTCACTTTAATTACCTCATTCAATATTCTGAGCTAACCAACCAATCTTACAATTGACTCTGTCATTACAACCATTCAATTAACAGCCAATTGAGGATCTGGTCACTGAGAATGAACTCCTCTGAAAAGAGTTTGAGTTCTTATTCAAAACTTGCATTCTGATGACTGCACAATTCAATTCCTTTGTCTGGGATCCAATGGACCCATGACAGTTTTTCAAAACTGCCTCTATACAAAGTCCTAATTTTTTATTTAAT